ATCCCTCTTATATCAGTTTCGTTTTGTTTAGAAGAACAATTACAGTTAACCTCCACTTGTCCTACTTTATTATTAAATGAAATTTCGAGAGAGACAGATTTTCTTGTTCAGATACAGAATATTGAAATTTCAGTGTGAGGAAACGATAGCCAAGACAAGATTGGACGGCCAGGAAGGCTTTTCTGTGTGCTTGGTGGGATTTGTAGGAAATTATTTACTATTAACTATTCGCCTTTAGCATAACTCTTAACTCGGAATTATACTGTCAACAATTGAACCTTCTTTTGGTCTGGGTAATAGGAGAAGAATTGTGTTCCCATCAGAACTACACCAGGCCACAGACATCGATAATGACTTGCTAAAAGCTCCGAGAGCTTAATTGAGAAATTCTTGTGAATTCACCTTATAGCCCAGACCTGGAATCAATTGATTACCAGCTGTTCCTGTTAATGAAGTATAATGGGCGATTTTTGTGATAAAAAATTTTGCTTTGAGAGAGATTTGTAAAAATCGACTGTATCAATTTTTTGCCAACAGGGACGACGACTTCTATGAGAGAGGCAAAATGAAGTTACCTTCAAAATTGCAACTAGTTATCGAACAAAATGATTTAAATTGGATCGTTCTATGGTAAATAAACCTTCAATTTCATGCATAAATAATGGATTTCTTTTTCCTACACCTATTAGATTATACATACATTATTTATATATAATATATGCAGAATAGTTTTGCGTTACTTTTTGTATTTTTCTATAATTATAGCAAACATTAATTTTGTTATTAAAGATTATATATTAAAGATATATTATATATAATAAATAAAGATTATCGAATATATATAATAATAAATAATGCAAAAAAATATAACTTTTCTCCACTCTATAAAAAATTCCCGCATTGCTGCAACTCTACTATCTGTTAAGACAGATAAGCGAGTTCTTACTGTATTAAGCCTGCCGTAAATTTAGTCATACTACCTAAAGTAAATTAATTTTTCGTATCAATATGTGTTTTAATTTGGGTCAAATGATCTTGATACGGTAATTTAATATTGATATACATTTTACTGTATTATCCTCATTAAATAATGCGTTTCACATTCAGTCGAGCCAGCAACCAGCAGCCAACTCTGCAAATCGCTCGGACTGCAGATATCGCACTTTGTAAGTTGGAATTGTGGAACTTTAAGCGGGACAAGGCTGCTCATATGAGAAACAATTTGACTTATTTGCAAATAATAATTAAGAAATATTTATTTAATAAATTGAATCGATAACTCTTAATTTAAATATTAAATTTCGCATTGTCCTTGGCGCCATTATAATCGATTTAAATATTTATCTGCAGCATTTACATTTGTGTGAAGGACATTATTTTTTCCTCGTACGCGTATTTCTGTAAATATAACTGCATGAGGACTTTAAGCTATAGAAAAAAAAATTGAGTTGTATCTTTTTTTACACAAAAAGACGTGAACATTCCTCAAGCAATCCTTGCTTCCATACCCGGCTGATGGCTTATGGCTTATGGGACGGTAATGTAAACACATTAACCTGGCCGTACGTAAATTTACCAAATATTTACGCAGCATCTGTGTTATTTTGCGCTTTTTACTTACTTTTGTTGGCATTAATTTTAAGCAAAATATAACACATTTTTTCACAGGTTATATGAGGCAAGTTCGGAATTGAAATGACGTGAGCTGGACTCATGCAGTGAAATTAACTTTCACTGCTTTAACAAGCGTGTCAAAATATAATTTGACTCTTTAAACAAAACAAAAAAATGGATGAAAATCATGTCGGTCCGTGTCCTTTAATGTGGAAACTTTTATTTTTATTTTTATTTAAGTTTTGTGTTTCTGGCATTGAACGGTATTGTAGAGCGGTAGCCAATGTGAAAAGTACATACATTCAGTTTCGGTTAGTGGTTTCATATATAGTCCAGTGCAGCTTTGTGTTAATTTTTGCAACAGTTTTTGTTTTGTTATTGTTGTTTTCGATGTTGTTGTTGTTGTGGTGGTGTGATTAAGAGCATTTTTTTATATAGCTTTGTTTGTTGGTATGCGAACCGTAGTGATGTTTTGCTGTTACCTGGAATTTTAATCCTTTCACTTCATTTCATGGTAGCCAATGTTTTGCTTACTTTTTGCTGCTACTGTCGCTATGAATTCTGGTAAACTGCTGTAGTTGTTGCTGTTACCATTCATCAGATTGAAACCTTGAATAATTAAAGCAGTTTCTGATTACCATCATCGTGCTCATCGCACTCATCGCAGTCATCGCACTCAGCGTTTTCATCATACTCATCCTGACCATAGCTGGGCAGGTCTCTAATTAAACGGTAAACAACAACTGATGCGAACAGCACAGCACAGCACAGCACAGAAACACAGCAGCGACCACCAAGGAGCAGAAGTATTGCTCCAGGTCCAGCTACATCATAGTGACAGCTATGGCTATTGTGGTTACTGTCATCATTGTTGTTCTTGTTTATGTTTTTGATGTTTTTGGTTTTCGGTTGATGTGTATGGCTCGGTGTGTAATTTTGAGGTTTCAAATGTACTTAAAAAACAATGAGCACAAAAACATCAAATCCAAAATAAAACTGTACTATGGAACTCTGATTATAAATCTATATAGTAACAAGAAAAATTTTTTTCAGTTTTTTTTACGATTTTTTCTATTTCTTAATTATAATTACTTTAAATAAAAATAGTACATCAAAGTAAAGAAAAAACGTCGTACTGTTTATTAGTTGGCTAAATGAACTTTTTGAAAACTACTATAGATCATGTGAAATAATTAGGATGCATATTATTTTAACGCGTGGTAAGTTATAAGCAGTTCTAGTCTTCCGTTTGCAGGCACTTTTAAAAGAATTCGGGAATGAATATTACAATTCTATGTATTTTTAATTAGATACACATTATGAATATTAAATTTTTTTGTTATCTTTAGTTTGACAGAACTATATAAATAAAGGAAGAATAAGACTCTATGCTTCTTTAATTACATAGAGAACTAGATAAAGAGTAGAAGTAATAGAATTGTGTTTTTTTTACTTAAATATAACAAGAAAAACGAAGGGATTATAATATTCTATGCTTATTTAATTTAATAGATTCACATATTTTAAATAATAGTAAAATTCTATATTTATTTAATTAAGTCGAATTAGATAAAATTACGACTTAACTTGCTTTGATTTTTTAGCTTATAGGAAGACTTCATAGACTTTTAGCGCAATTGGGGAAGATTTAATTAATATTTATAATTGAAGACAATAGGAATAATTAAATTCCATGTTTTCTTTATTGAAAAAGAATCAGATAGGTAAATGAATAATACTATTTTATGCTTTCTGTAATAAGATAGAACTTTACTTTTATATAAAAACTATTGTATATGAAAATTTTTGTGAGCTGTATACCACCAAAATAAGCAAAAAAGAAACATCTGCATATTTATCCAAATTGTATTATATACAATATGCTGAGCTGCGATAGAAAAACAATAATCTAAAAAAACACAAATTCTGTTGAGATTTCTTCTAGTTAGTGCAACTAGGCACTTTTACTCTTTCTTAGCTGGGGGGGTTTCTACAGAGTCCCTCTCTTCTCTTTGACTAATTTATGTATTCCTCACAAGCTTCGCTGATTATTCAATGACAGATCTAAAATCTGCATACCGCGCCAGCTTAAGACAGCTCTGAGATTAGATAGTGCTATGTAGTGCAGCCTGTCAGTTTTCATGTATAGCTTCAGGGCTCTGTCCCTTATATATTTTTTGACTGGGTCTATTCTGAGGTCTCTTAGCATGTCATTCGTGCGAATGTACAATGGCACTTTGAAGAGTCTGCGGAGAGTGTGATTTTGAGCAACTTGTAGCTTCTGGATAGTACAGTTAGCAGCTTTGCTATATACGACGCACTCATAGAGAAGTGCCGGGTTTTAATACAAAAACATATTAATTTTTATTATTGCATGGTAACACTGCAAATTTCGGTAAGTGCGGTAAATATAACTTGGTAAAAGTTGTATTTTTACTAATATATATTAATATACATTAATTAAAATTTTTTTAATATTATTATTTTTAATTTCAATATTTTTTTTCATAGTGTGAGGATTGGTTAGATACTACCCTTTTGTCTCCTTTATTGTATATTTTATATATAGCATATTTTTCTTTGGAGTTTACGAACATACTTTCGCTTTTTGCTGATGACACCTGTATATATACTGACGAAACAATTTACAGCTGCATATTGATAAGATAATGAGTTACTACACTTTAGGAAGAATTGCAGTATATGCTATTATAAGACGTAGAAATCATAATCTAAGAAAAACAAAAGTCAATAATGTGGAAATAGAATGGGAGGACAATGTTAAATACTTAAGTCTAACTTTTGATAGAAGATACACTTGGTTAGAGAATATAAGGGTCAAGAAACTGGCTTGTAAGTTATATTAATTGCTCTTATGAGTGCTCTTAAACCATTAACATAAGCAAAGTTGAACATCAAAAATTAAATCTTCTTTATAAGCAAATAATTAGACCTAAACTATGTCATGACTGTGTTACTTAAAGCAGTGGTGCACTATCCACCACTAGAAACCTCCAAACTTACCAGAATTACGTACTGAGACGTATGCTAAAAGCTTCATGGCACATTCGAAATGAATGTATACACAAAGACTTGAGTGTCGAGAGTGTCCAAAAGTATTTCAAAGACAAGGCAGTTGTAATTTAAAATTACACTCCCTTAAATCTAATGTAATATATTTTCCTTTAGAAAAATGGTAATATTGGTAATATATATTCTTTCAGAAAAATATGCTGGTCTTTAAAGTATACTTCTATAAACTCAACTGAAAAATTGAAAAAATGAT